GGATGCTTTCCAGGCAGCATAGTACATGGGAAGGCCTTCTGTCAATCCGGGTTTCTTTTGTTGCCAGCCTAGGAGGGACTTTGCAAGGTACGGACGAACGAGCTGTGTAGTCGAGAGGGCCTCCTCGAATGCTGACGTCAACGGCTGTCAGAACCGGCCCACGCCAGAGAATACCTTAACGTACGATTAGAAGGCGTGGTCCACTCATATGGTCCCTTTGCACCCGACACCCCGACTAGCCTCTGAAGGAAGTCGTCAACCGGTTCTGTATTCTCGTTGGCAGCGTCTATAGCGAGGCCCCCAAGTATAGGAGCCTTTTCGGCAGCTCTGACATACAGATCCGCGAGGTCATCTGCGTGTATGAGGACAAAGCGCCCACCAGGCTTTCCATACCAAGCGACCTTTCCTCCCGTCGCTGCAGCCTCGAAAAGCGGATCGAAGAGCGACGCACCCTTTCCATAAAGCATCGCGGGCCTGATCACGATTCCGTTCACCCTCTCGTCTTTGAGTACCATCTGCTCGACGGCAGGACGCCATGAGACGAGCGGTACAGGGTTTTGGAGAGGGGTCGTGTCGGAGACGAACTCGTCCGGGCTCGAGCCGTGCACCCAGATACCTGAGGTGTAGATGTAGGAGATCTTGGGTGCGGTGGCAGGACGCGAGGATTGGGCCGCGGTACCGACGGTGTTGAGCAGGGAGACAGGAAGATTGCGAAGATCAGCGGTACCACCCAAGGCTTCGATGACTACGTCGAGGGTGGGAACGAGGTGGACCCACGAGTCTGCATTACTGGGTTCACCGATGATAGGGAAAACTGGATGGACTTGAGTTGGGTATGTTGCGAGATGAGCGGAGAAGCCAAGGCTTACTTTCGTCGGCTGCCAACTTCTTAGCCTTTGCAGTGGAGCGAGTCAGGCCATAGACAGTGTGTCCAGCCCTGCTCAGAGCTTGAGCAATGGGGAAACCGATGGTGCCAGATGCTCTGGAGAGCCCGTTAGCCTGTCAGGAGTTGTCACCCGCTACTCTGGTGCTCACCCGAGAATCAAGACTTTCATATCGAGTTGGGCTCGTCGATGAGTGCAGGAGGGTCTTGGGCGGGTTATTGCAGATCTGAGTGGCTTGTTATATTCCCATGATTTCCGTCTTTCCGGGGAAGATGTACTAAGCTTGTGAGAATACTTCTCGTAAGTGATCCTAACCATTACCAAGGGACCATATGACAACGAAAGCAACTGTCAGATTTGCTGACTATTCTCGGTGACGCTTCTAGCTTGTGAATCTGGAGTGACTCCCATCACTTTCGTGATGGACTGCTGCTTACACTTGTTCCTCTCGACATTTTGATGGAATTCGTAATCGCACGGTTTGGGCACAATCGTATTATTCAGGCCGCAGGCTTGAATCATCCTCTAAGACGCTGTCGTGGATTCCCTCACCTTCCTGCCTTGCGTCCTACCTGCGGTAATGGAGTCCCGAAGTGCGTTTTGTCGTTGTCAGAAACGAGGCCTGCTCCATCGTGTTAATATACAGGGTGCCTGCAACCCTCGGTTGATCGTCCCACTGGCCCTCAGCAATTGCAGACACTGCAAAAAGTGGACGCAATGCCAGGACCCAACTTGGGTTTTTGGGAAGAACCACATTCCAAATGGAGTGGTCGACGCGCAAAGACGGGAGTATGACTGACTGTCAATGGTCGCAGTTGGACAGGGCGGGGAGTGACAACGTATCAAAAACTTAGGCCTTGCCAGGACTCGAACCTGGGTTTTGAGAACATTGGAGATCATGTGATCTGCCACATCAGAATCTCAAGTGATAACCGCTACACTACAAAGCCGATACCAAGGGCGATGGTTGCGTTGCTTTGGGTAGGGGAAGGACATGTACACCTTCAGCGAATCCACTTCGTGGAAGCATAACCGGCGGCAGCACCTTCGTCGATCGATATTCAACATTCATTGCAAAGTTGTAGCGGTACATTAAAGGAAAGAGAGCACGTTGCTGGATTATAAAAGCCTCGCCTCGACAACAAGAATCTTTCCACTCTGGCCTTTTGGCTTAGATCAAGTGTAGTATGACAGGATCAAGTGTAGTATGACAGAACTAGCTGTGGTTGAACCTGGTTGGATGTTGATCGAATGTTTGGCAG